TATATATAAATATATATAAAGTTTTTCTTCTCTGGACTAAACTCACTCATCTGATTTTCTCTATTTTTACATTTTCCAATACTGAACCATTGAGGGTACACAAAATTCTTACAGATCTGCCCTCATGACATATTATAATCTTGAACAAAATGAAATCATTTTAACTGAACCTTTGTATATATATTCAAACATGCCGTTTCCTATAACCTCAGCTGTGAATGTTAAGTTAACAGAAGCCTATTACACATGGTATGATGCTGGAGCATGAGATTAATCATTTTCCATTTGCAAATTGCAGGCCCAAGGATGTTCATTGATTATTAAAAGAAAACAAATGGAGCTAAAATTCTACCTTCCAGCCTGCATGAAGAAACACCGCTGATGAAAAGCATTTGTTAAAGACACCCAAGTACCATAATGGTAAAAAGATTCCTACATGATCTTAAGGCATACAGGAACTGCAAATTCTCTCATTTGCAATGTATATAGTGTCCTGTAAAAAAAAAAAAAACTTAAGAAAATTACTATATGTACTGTTATATTTTAGTCAATGTTAACTGATTTGACTTCTAAAGAATTTTAATCTCCTATATGAAAGTGTACACCTTTTTTCAATCCAATCAAAATGCTTACCTTGAACTTGGTTGAAAACAACCAAAAATCTGATTTTTTTGGCATTACCACCAAACTGTAGGTTTGTATCTTTTCTGCAGATATTTCAACCATGGAAACTTATTCTGCCTCACTATCACCCATTATATGTAATGGCACAACTTTTAACCTAAATGGATCACATTTGTGTAATGAAAGCTTATCTTCTAGATTTGCTGATAAATCAGAACACCAACAATATGTTATTGGTCTCTTCTTATCATGTCTTTACACAATATTTCTTTTTCCCATTGGTTTTGTTGGAAACATTCTGATACTGGTTGTCAACATAAGCTTTCGTGAAAAAATGACTATTCCAGACCTTTACTTCATAAACCTTGCAGTAGCTGATCTCATTTTAGTTGCTGATTCTCTCATTGAGGTTTTTAATCTTGATGAAAAGTACTATGATATCACTATTATTTGTACCTTTATGTCTTTGTTCCTTCAGATCAACATGTATAGCAGCATTTTCTTTCTGACATGGATGAGTTTTGACAGATACATAGCACTGGCAAAAGTAATGAGGTCCAACATATTTCGCACTATGCAACACGCTAGAATAAGCTGTGGTCTCATATGGATGGCATCTATTTCTGCAGCACTAGTTCCATTTACAGCTGTGCATTTACAACACACCGGAGAGGTCTATTTTTGTTTTGCAGATGTAAAAGAAATCCAGTGGCTAGAAATAACCTTGGGGTTTATTATCCCCTTTGTGATCATCGGTCTTTGTTACTCACTAATTGTTCGAGTTCTTATAAAAGCCCACAAGCACAGGAGTCTTCGTCTGCGGCGACAGAAGGCTCTCCGAATGATTTTTGTTGTTGTCTTGGTTTTCTTTATCTGCTGGCTACCTGAAAACGTCTTCATTAGTGTTCAACTTCTTCAAAAGAAAAGCGAGCCTGTCTCTTCAAGCAGCCCATCCTTCAGACATGATTATCCTTTAACAGGACATATTGTGAACCTAGCAGCTTTTTCTAATAGCTGTTTGAACCCTTTAATTTACAGTTTTCTAGGGGAAACCTTCAGAGACAAACTGCGACTCTACATTGAGCAGAAAACAAAAATGTCAACACTGCATCGCTTTTGTCAGGCTGCCTTCACATCTGTCATTCCTGACAGTAATGAGCAATCAGAAGTTTGATTTAGGAGTGGCTGTATAAAACATATGACTGTGAAGTTGTGCAAACAATGAACAAAATGCTTGCTACTAACAGAAAAAAGTGCATTTGTGTGTCTATATATATTAGTATCACTCTACTGAGTATTGAAGATTTATATTCAAAATGTTTTTACAACAAGACTTAAATGTAGAAACATATGTTTTAGTCAGATTTATATTTAATTATGAACAGGATTATTAAAAGCTGAGCACTGAAGGAGCTTTATTTTGTATTATATATGTATGAACAACAATATAGAGGAAAATTTTACCAAGTTACAAAGACTCCAGTGTAACCCAATGATCAGAGATGCTACTTTGCTGGTGTATATAAGGTGCTTCCACTGAAATAATGAAGCTGCCACAGCAATGGGAAAAAAAATCATTACAATTTATTGACGTGGAGATGCAGAAAACATTGGTTTTTTTTCATCCAAATATGTTAAGATAAATTACATTGCTTAGAAGAACTACAAAGTACTATTGTCACTGTATCCTAGCAAGTCTTCCCTGATAAGCTTAATATAATCTAGCACGGTGGCGAGTTTTTGTCTCATAAATGTAATCTACTGTTTACATCAGCACTTGATCAAAATTGAAATCATCTATAACTATATTGCTCATCTCAAAGAACTTCACAGAAGCAAAATGTAATGCTTCATTCTACCTTTCAAGGATTGCCCAAGACTATCTTTCCCAGGACAGACATAATTGGGCCTTTTGTCAAACAGACCAGTGCACGTATACCTACATTCATATCTGCCTTCAGATTTAAATGCAAGTTGCATGAGATCTCTTTACATTTAGCAGCCCATTTTGATTGCCAGAACAAACTGCTGTGACTTTAAAGTCACATTCTGCAAAAGAGTATAAAAATTGCTTACGAAAATGACAGAAGCCCAAGTTTTTAGAAAGGGAGAATTTATGCAATGGGGACCATGATTAGTTATTATCAGATCTGCACTTTGTGTTATTATCAGATCTGCACTTTGTGCAGCCTTCATCCCATCTCTAGAAACTACTGGCCTTTCAAGATTTTAAGATGCATGTTGGTTGCTTTGTTCATCTGAAGATTAATTTTACTAAGAAAACAAAGGTTTGCACCATGTACTTGAAAATGATAATTTTAATTTCTGCTAGAAAATAACTGGGGTTTAGATCTGATTGATGTTTAGCACAAGTTACTGCTGAACTTGTTCAGAGGAAGCTATAAAGTTCCTAGAGATTAGTGTGCAAGATCATTAAAACATCACCTGCTGCATCTCTGAAGCGAACAAACTCATTTCACCTCTGTGGTCATTGAGTTAAGCACCAGAACTCTGCAGAATAAGATGCTTTGTTCTATTTTCAAATGTCATATATGAATTAATTAGCACATTAATGGATTTTAAAGGATTTTTAAAGATACACACAAAACAATGACTAAAGTTGCTAAGCAATAAAGAAAACAGTGAAAACAATGATTCCACTCATATTTCTCACGAAATATTTAGAGCTTCCTAGTGGAAGCTTTGGCCACAAAAGACCTGACCTATAAACAGAAAGGCCACAAGACGATGGCTGAATTTGAAATAGATAGCTAAGATATTCCTGCAACTGAAACAGGAACTGCAGGGTGGAGTTTGTGGCAACTGCTGATTATTTGCAAGTGACTCCTAATCACAGTCAAAGGAAAAATGTCATTTAGTCACATCTTCCCTGTAGAACAACAAATAGATCTTCTCCCAAGAAAGATGCAAGCAATGTCATGCCTTCTCTGCATAGAACAAATTACTAAACACTTAGCAAGAAATATCACAGCACCGTGCTCCATCACACGTTGCCCTTCTTCCTCATTATGTTCTCTTCAGAATTAGCCACAATTACTCATGTCCTATTGACTGCCAATGTACATGAATCACACCTTGAAAGACAGCTATTTTAGACACCAGAGAACTGAAGGAATGGGTAATTCTCTTGGCAATAGAATTCCGTGAAGTCTGACACATCTTCAGAGATTACAGATGTATTAGGTTTGTGTCATCTTGACACCTGCCATGAATAAATAACGTATTTGGGTTACTGGAATAAATTTTCCCAGTTGTAGTTGTTGCTTGTTTTTATAGGACTAAACTTCTTTCCCCTCCTCCTTCCTACCAATAAAGGAATCTGGTTTTTGATCAGGGCTATAGTAGAAGCCCTTTCATCACCACTGCAGGTAACAAACCAAGAAAGCATCTTTCATCAGAAGCTGATGATAATAAACAGACAATAACAGCAAGTACCTGCTCACGCATACTATGAAATAGTTTGTTTCTACATGATCATATGCAATAATGTCCTGATATCACAGTGAAATCTAGGAAAGAACAGATTACTACAGCATGAAGAGAACAGTATTTACTCAACCTGAAACAATCTATTGCATGTTTAAAACCAAATTAAAAATCTAAACTACCTGACGAGTTTCCCGAAGTCAGTATTTTGGGACAGGCTTACAAACTGTACCCGAAATGACTAAATTTAAACATATTACTTCCTTTAAATAAAAAGTACTCTCCAAAGTGAAAAAAATTGCACACTTCTTCCCAAAAGTGTGGAGTTTTCTAACAGCAATGATGTACAAATTAGTATTTACAGAAATGCCATACAACTTTCATGTATTTGTATATAGAACATGCTTTCTGCAGCTCATCACCTTGCAATAACTCATTACCATGGCTTCCCCACAAACCAAAAAGACCTGTGCTTTACGTAGTTTTCTTTAAAATTGAAGAGCATGATGAACAGCAAACAAAACCTTTTCTGAAGTGTAGGGGAAAGAGGAAATCTGAGTAAGAATTTTGATACAGTTTCATCACTGAAAGCAATGGTCTTCCCTCAGCTGTGTAAAAATGTATGAGAAAAATAGCTATCTGAGACCATTTTAACACATTAAAGAGATGCTGTAACTTTGTATCCTCCTAACAGTTTTGGGAGACACACTAAATATTGACTGTGCAGGCACAACACATCCACACTTAAAGAAAAAAAAACAAAACAAAACAAAACAAAAACAAAAACCACAGTCTGTCTAAAGTTAAAGCTTGATCCATTTGTGAGAAGTGCTCCATGATGTGAGGGCATGTGACAGGGAATTTGAATCAATGAATGAGGCAATCCCAAATTCTCTGCAAGATTTTGACATAATACAGGCAAGACGCAAGAGAAGTCATCCCCTTCTTCTCCTTTCGGCTCCACAGAGAAAATGAGAACACTGGCATTCAGAACAGTCAATCCACCAATTCCAAAAGACAAGATACACTATAAAATACATTAATAAATAAATCACAGAATTCTTAAAACATTGTTTTCTTCAATACGGTTTCTAGCAAATGACAAAGATACAGATTCATCTTATATTCCCCCAGTGTAATCTGACATTTATATTATTAATCAAAAATGGCTTATCTGGCACAGAAAATCCATTCTACTAAATTTGTAAAGCAGCAAGCTCCTAAAAAACCACTAAGCACAGAGTTTTAACATGAAAATGCTTTTAGAATTTCAGATTAAATATCTGTGTTTTAAACAAAATTCACAGGCTGCACAGTGCAGGCTCTAATCCTTCTTCCAGCCATCAAGTCATGTTAGAAGCTAATGGAATTTTTTCCCTGTGTAAGGATTTTGCTGTATTCTCTCAGCTGTTTGTTAAGACTGCAGAAGGGAAAAGGTTGTCTGGACAATTTTAAATGGTTAGAATCATCACATTAAAAAACACATTAAAAAGTGGTTTACCGTAAGTAAAAGCATGTCAAGTTCAACCCTGATTATCATTTAATTCCATTTGAACTTGTTTCTGCATAAGTAGGAAAAACAAGCTTGTGTATGAAGAAGGCAGGTTTGAATTTTAATAGCTATTCATGAAGGTGAACCAATGGATTAATTTGATTTTCATTGAAAACAACAAAGATAAGGGTTTGATTTTCATTTAAGGGACAGTATCCTTCCATTCCACTCCGAAAGTCTCATCTGACCCATTCAGACCATCAGACAAATATTTAAAACTTTCATCAGAGAAGAGCATAGGGACAAATTCCTTAATCCAGTGGATTGAATTATATCTTTGTAATGTAATCTTACATCTGCAATGTAAGTTTAGGCTTACTTTACCGATGACATCTCCAGCAGCCCAGCAGTACACAGTGAGACCAAACCAGCCCTCCTTCAGAGACTGTTCATGTTAAGAAATTATTATTATTATTACTACCTTCTGCTTAATAAATATGTCACCAATAAACCATTTCCACCTTGGAACTGCACTTTATCTTATTTATGTTAAATCCGCAATGACAGAGGATAGGGCACAAGCAATTTTTAAGACATCCATACAGACCATCTTTTCTGTACACTCTTAAGCTCTGCTGCCAGAGAGGTATATTGTGGTACATGCCCTGAGCTATGTTTTAAAGAGAGACATGCGAGATTTAAAAACTTGAACACCCTCCATTCATATTTGTAATTTAGGTGTCCTTTCCTCAACAGTATTGTCCAAACTATTTATTCGACATTGACATATGACAAACCAAACTTTCAGCCCTCGGCTTTTGGCTTCCTTTTAGGCTTCCATTCCATCTTATGGCAGCATGACACAGCGAGGAGCTAAGAATAAACAGCTGCATACTGAGCCAGCCACCCAAGATGACAAGAAAAGAGCAATGCCTCCTCAGGACTTCAGACAGTGAAGATATGCTCACTGCTTTCAACTCAGTCTCTTACATGCTACTTCAGTTATTTTACGTATGTCCAGTGAATTCCACTACAAAATTTAGAGATGATTTTCTGAGTCTCATAAAACCTGTGTGAGACTGTTAGAGCGGCTTTTGAAGTTGTTCAACCCCGGTGACAAAACCATATGCAAGTTTCCAACCTATGATCTCAAATCGTTCAGAAAGTCTGCTACAGATATATACAGAAGTTTTAAAGTTCTAAATATGCATTACCAAAAAGTAAAACCTAACTTT